CTTTTGGCAACACTCACCTTCTCCAAGGACGCCTTCCTATGCTGAAACCAGAAAATGTCCACAAAAGCGCATAGATTTAACGCTATAAATCTACTTCAGTACAATATACAACCACAATCGAGAAAACCTGGATTAAGCAGAACAAAGTAATCACTACAAAAGTAACCTACGGTTGGTAGCGATTAAGAATAGGGAACTAAGTGATGAAGTGAAAAGAGATCAGCAAAGAAAAGTTCACCGGATTTGGGGATTGGTAGTGATGGATCATGTATAGATGGAGTAATATGGGAGCTGCCAGTCGGCCCAACTAAGCCGGTGCGAGGAGGGTTTATTTTTTATTGACGCCGAAACTGTGATTACCATCAGTGGCAAGGGGCATTCCGACTGACGAATTTTCAAAAAATTGAGGCACGAATATCCAGGATTTGATTGACAACAGCGGGAAATTTACTAAAACCGTCCCTTTGAGAGGAAACAGCCAAGCACTAAGAACACCCGCTTCCCCTAATATCAGTACCAACTATTCCCCCCCGTAAAGTCTCAGTCGGGTGGATCGGTCAACGGCATTGGGAGTGGATTGCCAAGAAAAGGTAGTAATTGGCTTGAGGCTGAATGGGAAGAAGCGAATGTGCGCAATGTTGAATATATGGATGACTGCAGTAGCGATGAGGAAGGGAAAGATGCCCGTAAAGAAATAGAAATTGAGAAAAGCATCAAACGGTGAAGGTGGGTGATGATGCCAGAAGATGAGGAATGAACAACTCCAGCTTCGCAATTCAAAAAGAGCTTAGCTGACCAGAGAACAATGTAATTAATAGCAGTGAAGAGGGACGTGCATAAGGTAGGCGTCCAGAGCTTAAACCAGCAGTGGGACGAGTGGTTAACAATCCCGAGAGCAGTGTGGCAGGCTAAAAGGAAAAGAGATTGCTACTGATGGAACAAAGAAGAAAGCACTGAAGAAGGCGGGGAAGAGCCAAAAGAAAAGAAGAAAGAGGAAGAGGTAGTTGAAAGCGCAAGAAAAAAGGCTATCGAGGTAGGAGAAAGCAGTCCAGAATAGGGCACCCAGTGGTGTGACCGCCAGTTCAGTTTCTGAGCCCAATTGCAGTAGAACAAGAGCAGATTATTTCATTGTGGATTTGCTGATAGCGTCCAAGGAGCATAGAGAGTCCCTTTACTTGAAGCCATGACTTTTGTCAGAGTGCCTGCTCGGATTCAGAGTGTTGACATGAATCAAACGTGCTACCAGCGTAGAATTAGCGAAGTCACTTTTCTTTGACTCGACCTCCCACCAAGAAAGAAAGAACCAACTTTAAGCCATTTAATTACATTCAACATTTGCTGTTACGGGCGTGAATACCCGGAATGTGATGGTGGATAATGGATTCGGCCCCTGTGCGTGTGGCCCCGTTGAAGATTGTTATCCAAGTTATTTAAAATCGAAGAGTCAGAACTTGAACCATCAATATGGTGGTCAAAGCTTATGAACAACACCATTGAGGAATGCAAAGGAAATTTTTAAAGCAAAGATCTCAACGGGAGCCGTAGAAAGTTGGGTAGCACGTGGTTGTGCCTTTGACATCTTAGCCAACTATGCTCTTTTGTTGAAAGGCCCCCTGGCTCCATCCTCTAAGGTGCAGTTCCCCGTCCACCCTGCACAGAAAAGTAAAAAATTCCATGGGGGTACGGATGTGTGACAGTTAATGACGGCAAGAAGATTCTGAATGTGGCTAACAGTGGAAGGCTTTAGAGATGGCGGTGCCGTTAATCGGTTTTCAGGTGGCAGTGATTGGATGCGCCTACCCAGGAAGAGCAAAAGAGTACAGTGAAATAGAATGGAGTTCCCTTTTTCAAGAAGATGATTGAAGAAGATGCAATGGCAGTATGGCAAAGGTTTTAGGGCCGGGAGCTTGCAAGGAAGGTTTGAGCTCTCTCATCGGCATTTTGGATAGCAGAAGACGTGGGTGGGAATATTCTGAGAATAGGAAGAAAGAAAGATATGAGATCCGGTCTCCAATTAGAGTGTCAAATTTAGAATCATATCTTCTTTGTCCCACAAGCCGCGGGAAGAAAATTTCAGAGTAAGGGGAAGACGTACCCAAGCTTTGGAGATATTTATGAACAGATTATGAGGAGAAGCCTGATCAAGTCGCTCCGAACCTACTATTCTTGGAACAGCCTGGTTGAGGGAAACTTGAGTTTATGGTGGGTATGACACAAGCAGCACCGAATCTGAGTGTCAAAGAATGATATCGAGGTTTGAAGACTTTTTTTGGGGATTGGGATGAAGCTTCCAAAATGGTGCAAGAAGCAGAAGGCCAAGGCACGGATCCTTCCAGTCCAGTACTAGCCTGCTGGATGCCGAAGAGGCAGAGAGGAAGGTATTGAAGATGAAGCCTGCAAGAGGAGAAGGCTACCCCCCGGAGAAGAAGAAGACGCAGATCTAGATGAAGTGATTCAAGCGATAAGAATACTTGTATGACTGTATATGAGCCAGGCAATATTAATCATGTATTTGGCTTTCTGAATGTCTATTTTGAAGAACAATATGGATGGTTTTCCCTCTCTTATTTTCAATCAATGGAAGTGAACTTTGACTACTTGTTTTTTTGTTTTCCTCCTGATTGTCACGTTCATGGCATTGATTATACCACGCGTATATTTGACATAAATGCATTACATCATTTTGCATTTAACTTAAGCACCACCGAAGATCCTAAAATAATCGAAATTGGATCGGACTTCAAACCTGAACTTAGATAGGATCTTCAAGAATGTCTTACGAGAAATCCAGAGGTATTTGCCTGGAGCTATGCAGACATACCAGGAATTGACAGATCAATCGCAGAGCACTTCATTCCTACTGATCCAAGTGTTAAGCCGGTGAAACAGAAGAGGAGACGGGTCAGACCAGAATGGCAGGCAAGAATGCAGGAATAAGATCAAAGTTGAAGTCCAAGAAGCAGTTGGATGCAGGATTCTTGGAAGTAGTTCAACTAATCCGGAATGGGTTGGCGAATATAGTCCCGGTGCTTGAAGAAAGATGGGAGATAAGGGTCCTGTGTTGACTACAGGGACCTGAACAAAGCCCTCGCCTAATGACTTTCCACTTCCGCACATAGATGTTTTGATCGACAGTGCTACCGGAATGGGATGTTATTCTATCATGGACGGATTTTTCGGGTACAACCAAATACTGATGGCCTTAGTAGACAAGCACAAGACGGCCTTCACCACGAATTTCGGAACGTTTTGCTGTAGAGTAATGCCTTTTGGACTGAAGAACGCCGGAGCAACATACCAGAGAATGGCTACAACATTATTTCATGATATGATCCATAAAGGATTAGAAGTATAAGTAGACGACATGGTGATCATGACAAGAACACAAGAAGAACATGCAGAGATGCTGGAGAAGTTCTTTGCACGGGTCAAACAGTATAACTTAAGACTCAATCCCAAATAAGCTTAAGACTCAATCAAGAAGTGTGGTATTTGGAGTAACGAAAGGGAAATTGGTTAGGTTTTCGTTGTAGACCTAATGGGATTGAGGTTGACCCTGACAAAATAAGAGCCATTCAGGATTGGAACGCCAAGAACAGAACGTCAGGTGAGAAGCGCTTTCTTGGGTAAAATTCAGTAACATCAGCAGGTTATTTCGAGGTTATCCATTCATTGTGGCTCCGAATTTTTTCAAGCTACTTGAGAGGAAGAATCAGCCGTTAAGTGGAATGAGGCACTGCCAGAAAGCATTTGACGCACAATAAAGAAATATCTGATGAATCCACCGGTGCTCAGTTCACCTAGACCAGGAGAACCTCTAATCTTGGGTATTTATCTTGTAAGAAGATGCGGAGGTTTGGAGCATGGTTAGTCAGCCGGACAGCGCGCTGGAGTAAGAAAAGACAAATTTACTATATTAGCAAGAAACTACTGCCTAATAGAGGAGGAAAATACAATTTGGTGGAGAAAACATGTATGGCAGTAGTGTTGGTCGATAAAGAAGTTTGAAGGCCTTAGCTTGACTCTTTCAAAGGTCATTTTGTCCCTCCAAAATTGATCCTTTTGAAGTATTTGCAGAGAATGCCTACTTATATGAGGGACCGGCTGTCTAAGTGGTTTAATTCAGATGTCTTAGTGTGGAAATGCAGAATTTGTAAACGAAAGAAACGGTCAAAGGTCGGGCTCGTGGCTAAGAATTCTTTGGCGAAATCCATTTACAGATGACGAACCAATGGGAATTGGAGTTTCCAGATGGAACACTTAACTGTGTAAATCGAAACAGGGGCTTGGAATTTGGTAAACTTTGATGGATCAGCCACAGAAATGGAGCCCGGAGCTGGTAATTGTTTAATTGAAGCCACCTAATGGCGAGGTCAACCACAATGATGGCAGGAGACTGTTGTTCCCGTCACTAAACAATATGGCTGAGTAATAAGCGTTTGCATCATGGGAAATAAAAGCTCTCCTTGCATCTTGCATCCGGCGCTAAGGAGGTCGAGGTAATAGGAGATTCGTTATTGGTTATCGAACATGCTAACGAGAGATGGAAAGTAGAAGAAGAAAGACTGAAGTCTTATGCTGAGTACTTGTTGAAGAAGGCAGCACTATTTGACAAGATCACTTTCACTCACATACGAAGAACCTATAACAGAATTCCAGATGCCTTGGCAAACTTGGCATCGACATGGCAGGATTTGAGTAAAGTTCCGAAGAAGCCATTTATCATTACCGCAGCCAATATCCCGTGCTATCAAGAACATTTCGTGAACCATGTCGAATCGGAGGAAGAACCCTGGTTTACGGATATTTTGAGGTATATGAAAGACGGTACTTTTTCTGATGATGCGACGAGAGAAGACCGTGCAGTTCTCAGAAAAATGGCTTTGAATGTTCTCAGAAAAATGGCTTTGAATTATGTTCTAGCTGATGGTGAACTCTATAGAAGAGCTTAGGATGGGATGCTGCTGAGATGCGTGAGTAAGAAAGAGGGAGAAGATATAATGAGAAAAGTCCATGAAGGAGTTTGTGGTACTCATCTAAGCGGCATAAGCCTAGCAAGAAAATTCATGAGGCAAGGATATTTCTGGATGCAGATGGAAGGTGACTGTGTTCAGTATGTGCGTCATTGCAAAGCTTGCCAATATCACGACAATAAAAGCCACTTACCTGCTGTTGAACTCCATCCAATGACTCCTTCTTGGCCTTTTTCTGCATGGGGCATAGACGTTATCGGCAAAAAGACATCATCGGCAAAATCTCAACGCAGGCAGGCATTGAATGGCCGCCATCAGTATATATTGGTTGCAGTTGACTACTTGCTCCTAGATGGATTGAGGCTAGTCTTACAAAACCTTAACCGCCAAACATGTGGCTAGATTCCCATTGAAACATAACATTTTCTGTTTGGCCTATGGTGTGCCCGCCATCACATAGTTGAACACGATGTTATATAGGCCCGGAGTCATTTCCATTGTTGCTCGAGAGCTAGATGTTTATGGGCCTGTACCAGGTTATGCTCTATATCAGCATTGTATAATGGTTGAATCTAGTCACACCAATTCGCTCTCTGCGCATAGTATCGCCTCTCGAAGCGCTGATGGCTAGCGAGATATCGAGGCATGGGCGTAGTAGTAGAGGTAGAAGTTCATACGAAAGAAATCTATCGAACGAGGGCATTAGGTGGAGAAGGTAATAGAAGCTGGGCCGAAGAAACTTCCTTTTCGCACTCTGGGGGCATTGCACTACATTCAAATCAGTAAAATGGAGCCCTCTCCTTTCGAACGTTGTATTATGGAATAGAGGCAGTGTTCCGATAAGAGCCTCGAAAAGAAGTTTCAGGGTTTTTGGTAGAAGCTGGTCCTGACCGAGGAAAGAATGGGTCAAGAGAGGGTATGAAAGATCTAAGCGCTCCTTAAGATGGAAGAAAGACTGAAATGCTCGATTCCGGATCGATGAGAAAGGAGGAATTGCTCGTTTCCTACAAGTAACGGTAACATCCAAGGGCTTTAAAAGAAAACGGAGACTTGGTATTGATCAGGTTTATTGTTTTGATTATGAAGCCCAGAATCATCCTGGTGGGAAGTTTAAAACCCCAACTGGCAATGGACCCGGTTCAAGAGTTCACAAAGTTATTAGCAAAAGGCACGCTGAATTAGTCCACCATGGAAGGGGAGCCTGTCAACCGAATTGTCAACCAGGAACCAAATGTAAAAGTTTTATGCCTGAAATGATGATTTCGAAAAAAAAAAAAAGGCTAAGCTGAAAACCCGAAAGGGCGGCCTTAGGCAAGAATTAAGCTCCGTTAGGTTGAAAAACGCGGCCTAGGCAAAAGTTAGAGCATAAATAAAAATAAAACAAAATTTTCGGGATCAACGTGTGGTGCTTAGTTTAAATGTAGAACCCATGCCATGCGTTCGTGACAAATCTGTGATTGGTTGCTCAACGCCATCAACTTGACTCGAAGGAGAATAGGAAATCAAACAGTTAGAGTAAATGACCATTGTATTAAAATAAATTTCCTCTACTTCTGTATTATGTTGAAAAGAAGTAAGATTAATAAAGGATTTGTGTTTCAAAATTTTTCTTTTTTGTTCCGGGGTTACGGTTAAGGAATGCAAGACCTTCCTCTCTGCTTATTTGAATAAAGATCGACCCATCCAGTTTAAAATGTTCTGCTTATTTGAATAAAGATCGACCCATCCAGTTTAAAATGTTTTGGCTGTTGGTCCTGCCTAAACAATGAATTCTTTCAAACATTGATCAGAAGGACGAACACCATTGTCTCAGTAATATCCCTGGAAAGATCAATATAAAACTACAAATAAACCTTAGTACTCATATAGGTTCATGCATACATAAAGAAGTTACATTTGTTATTTCTATCTGATTTGTGCAGGTAATAAAATACTCACCCCATTCATTGTTATCTCCAAGTGTAAACTTTTGTCTTTGTATAATAATTTCTTTTATGAGCTCTCATTTATTAACCCGAGGGCAGGAGGCCCAAATAACTAACGCAACAAATGATTCCGAAAGAAAAGGTTTGTTGTCTTTTGTTGATTCGTGTGTGCAGAAAGCAGGAATTAATAAAGACAGAATCATCGGGATCATTAACTAAAAGGAAAGCAGATACATTAAATAAAACCGATTAAATAAAAAACTCACGTCTAAGCGGGCAGAAAGAGGCCAAAATAAAGATGTCACAAACAACCAGTTTAGTTTCAGTAGGGCCTATCAGAGAGGCCAACCTTCAACAGCGCATGACATCATCATGGTAAGAACCAGTTGGCTAGGCGGGTGTCAAGCGTGTCCTGCCATTCCTCATCTAAATACATGGTGTTTTGATTTTTGCCAACGTCAGCCAAAATTGGTCCAACAATGGGTGTTATCCAGACCACTTCAAGTTATGGATTCTGGACCGCTGTATCATCCCATACAGACGGCTGATACCTATCTCTGGGAAATAGCCATGGAACGGTCTATGACTGGCAAATACAACACATAATTGAGGTTCATGACTTCCGGTCGTGACCAGTCTGATCCTGCCCACAAAGGACAAGTCCACCCAATTGTAGGTTATCCCCAAAATCGAAGTGTCTCCGGACCGGATTGAAAGCTGGCAGTCCATAGGTTGAATTAAGCGGCTGGGACCGAGGAATCAGGCTTTAACTTGTCTAGAGCCAGGCTTGCAATAGTAGTGGAAAACCGCGAATGCAAATGAACATTGAAGTTGGTGACGTGAAGGGCGAATCCCTAAACCCAACCATCTTATCTCATGATCATACATGAAGACAGTAAGTATGATGGTACATTTGCATATCACGAACAACGGTCAGAAGTCGGAAATCTCCAATTTCGGGCTGGCGATTCTTCATGGCATACACATTCAACAGCAAAAAGCAGCAAGCTTGAATCCAAGAGAGATCTAGATCTATGGACAGAACCCTACTTAGGAAAGGCCCCAAAGGGAGGCCTTGATCCGTGTTTATACCATCAGGGAGGTAAATCGGACACAGGGCCGCAATCTCAGCTAGATCATACCTAGGACCTGGGGGTAAAGCCGGAGTCTCATCTTGTTCGGGATGATGATCCATCACGGCACACATCTCCTCGTAGGTCGGAGTTACTTCAGAGTCTTCAAACCGGAAAACCATGGTGTTACGATTAAAATGAGTAACGAGCCAAGACAAGAAGCCATGGTCAGGTTTTAAGTCTTTGAAATATTTCAGCCAAACGAGTTGGTTCATAGGAGGAATTTGCAATAGATCGTCCGGGATGGATTGGACGAAAGATGAGACTTGGTTTCTGAAGGCCATGGAAAAAGGTTACTTAAGAAACTGATATGCTTTGAATGCTGGAAGTGAAGAAGAAGTAAAGAGAAGCTTCTATTTATAGAAGTGTAAAGGGACCGATGAACGGGGCATCATCATTACTCGACTTTATATCCTTACTCGACTTTATATCCACTGTCAATGGTAGTTGGAAAGCATTTATGTATGGTTTGCTCGGGTTGGTGAGCACTTAAACCCGCATTAGTCAATAAGAAGGACGGTTTGTACAATAAGGAGGTTGAGTTTCTATGACGGCATTAGTCGCTCTGTCAGGTAAGTGCTACGACCCATTTATGCTTATGAATCGATTCTTGTCGTATTTCATTTTAAAATCCATTATTTTATTCTTTATTTATTTCATTTTATTTCATTCATTTACAATAAACTAGCCCATTGACTGCTAATGACGTGGACCACTTTTGTAAATAAACGGGACACCGCTATTTCGTGTTTTTGTGTTTGTGTTTTGTTTTTGCAGGAATAAGGTCTCACAGTTGTAAAACATAAATAAAACATAAACACATATGACAATGTAATAAAAGCAAAATACTGTGAAATAATAAAAAAAAGAAGAAGGTAAATAATCATAAAAATAATATAACTGTACAGCCATCCTAAAAAATAATATAAAACTACTAAATGTTCAAAAAGTGTTCAAAAATGGCTGAGACATGGAGCAGGACTACTGCTGCCTATGGCTCGGACCTGCAGCAACCTGAGGCGGTGGAGACAGTGGTACGTCATCGGAAGAAGAGCCGTCATCGTCCTCCTTAGAGGAGTCGAGCGGGATGCCCTCAACCTCTAACCTCGTCCGGAGCTGGTCCACCTCCGCCTGGAGTCGGCTCACAGCGCTAGACTGGCGAGACTGATGCCTCCGCAGCCTCCCGATCTCCAGGTCCTGTAAAAACAGTCCTGTAAAACAGAGAGGTGTTAAAGAAAAGGAACAAATAAAAAAAAAAAAAAGAAGTGGCAAAAACACATGAAGACATACATACGCGCTCATTTCCTGCTCGAGTAGAGCTGGGCGAGGTAAAACCGAGAAAGCCGAACCTCTGGCAAATCTGCCAAGTATCTCTGAGCAGGCCCTGCAAACATTGGAAGAACGTCTATGAAGACTCATTCAGGTAAAGTATCTTTAACTTTGTAAAATATAGTTTAGTACTTACGTGGTGTGGGCCTGCTTCAGGATCTAGCTGGCGGTAATGGAGGAGCCGTCTGAGGTCGCCAGGAAATAGTGATGCCCGACTAGACCCAGATAGGAATCCAACACACCTCCAAAGCCTTGGCGGGAATGGTAACAGTCGGCCGGTATAATGCCCTGCAGGCCTTAGCGGAGCAACCGCAGCCCTGTAACTGCCGCCTTCTGCGTCGGATAGTGAGCCGCAGTTCTTTATGCGTCTTCCGCTCCTTGCAACAAGTCACAGAGGAAGAATGATATCAGTGGGTTAAACAGTTGAAAAACTGATGAAAGTAAATAAGACGAGATTCAGAGTCACCTTGGGTGTAACTCGAGGATGCTCAGGAAACCCGTGCCTGCACCCGGAAGGAGAAGTATACAGGGAAATGCCAGCGACAGAAATCGTATCGCCTGAGAAGCCCCTATACATCCACCTCAAGAATCCTCCCGGTTCAAGCCCTCCAGTAAGGCACATGTGACAGGAAGGGCGTGAAAGGCACCCGGCCGCTGTGTTGAGCCACCGGAGTGTCGAAAACCCTCTCTCTCAAAGAAGTACCAAATCAACCAGTACCCGCACTCCAGCAAGCCTCGATCGGGTTGTGGCATGCTCTGCCACGTCCGGCCCGGGTAGGTCTCCAGAGGCGTCCACAGTCCCACGGAGTCAGGAACAGCTGGCAAAAAGAATAAAAATAGTGGCATTGTTGTACATCATAAGATCAAAAAGAGGAAGAAAGGTAAGCTAAGTGTATAAGAAAATATTTTCTTTTTACGTCCTCGGCACAGCTCCCGGTTGTTAAGGAAGCTCCTCCATAACTCCGGATCCTCGCACTGGGCATAAGTATGCGTGAACAATTGTGCCAGATAAACG